CCATTTAAGGCAGAAAATCCTCACCACAGCCCAGAAAAAAAAGAGGGAGAAAAAAAAAAAAAGGATTCTTAAGACAGTCTGCCTTCCCTTACCTATTTGATCCCCAAGCAGAAGAGCCAAAGGRCTAGTTAAGACAGTCCTGGCAGAAAATATCCAGGCAATAAGACAGTATCTCAGGAAGATAAAAGTTATTCCTGTAATGTGATTGCTTCTGGTCGGAAGCAAAAGATTCTGCAGCCAGACTGCCAGCCTAAGAGAAAAATATCCTGTGTGAAAGGATATAACTTGCMATAAGCCTTTATCCTCTCTTGTCTACCAAGACCTTGCTGTTYAGCTTTCACTGAATATCTGTTTTACCATCCAATTTAGAGGTAAGGGATTTTAACATTTCGAGAAACCAAACATAAACTAAATTTTAAGGCTTRTGGAYTTTTTGACCCAAGTTGTCACAGTGGGTAAATTGGAAGCAACTATCTCACATTCCCCCTATCTTTCTGATCAAGAGCAGCAGTTCTTTGAGGATTGGTTTAAAAAGAAAAAAAAAACAAAACCAAAACAAAAATACCAAATGAAACAAACAAAACCACACCACCTTGTGGAAGAAGTTTGGGTTGTTTGCAAACTGCTTCTTCCAATGCTTGAAAGCAAACTGGTCAGGAAACAATGGGACATGGCCATCTTTTCCCAAATAATGTGTGGCAAATCCTCATCTCTATAACCATCCAATATTCAGTTGAGCTGATTGAGTTCAGTTTGGATCTCRTTTTAATCAGCAAGGATATTAAGCTCTGCTGTTTTGATCTGACTTCTCCCTTTGCTCCCCAASCACTCCAGGAGCACAAAGATGGTTGTTTTGGTCACGTGCTTTCGTCTGGGTACCCCTTAAAAATAAAAGGACTGAGCATTCCTAGCATCTCTGGGTCATCCCTACATCTGCTTCTCATTCATCTCTTTCTTTTTGGTAAATTTTCTATCTTCCCAATACTTCCCATTATTGTATATTAAGATATTACATTTGAAATATTCCACAGGAATAAGCCCACGGCATGAGCAACCTGGCTTGAGGACACAATTTAGTTGTCCTCATCTTCTCATTTACTTGAGAGAAAGAAATGTGGCACCTGAGAGGATCAGAGGAGAATGTGCCAATCATCAGATTAACTCATCTCCACCCCTGCTCCCAGCAGCTACACCACTGAGCCCTTCAAACACTTCTCAGAAGTTTTCATGAAGATTTCTTTTCTCCTGCTATCCCTTGTGAAGGGCTAATCCAGCAGTGACAAATGCAGCCTCGAGAAAAGCACATTTTTCCATTCAGGACTCCACCCCACATCTTCCACACATCCCCRGGCTGTTCTGGCTCCAGCAGCTCCAAAGAGCAAGGGCCTTTGTACCTCCTACTTCACCAAGGTGCTGTAAGTGTCAGATATATTTAAGAGCATGAAGCATTCAGATACTATGGAAACCAGGGCAAGAGAAAAACCAAAAATAGATGGAAGACGCAAGCTGTTGTAAGGTCTGGAAAAGCCTTGCTGAGGAAGGCTGTGCTTGCTGCAGCTGATTGCAGAGTGGGATCCATTTAGAGCTCGAGGATAAAATATCCTCTCTCCAGTCTTTCCGTGGTTTGTCATTTTTCTTTGCCACGGGGAAAGGGATATTCTTTGACTTCCCCTCTATTTAACAGGCCTCCTAATTACCAGTTCCTTTGAATGATTCATATTCTAGTGTGCCCTTCCCATGACCTGGAGTAGGCTGCTGCCTGACTGCTTCTGTAGAGCAGGAGTATTTGGGAACATACCATGAGAAAAAAAAAACTACCACAGAGCATTCTCCTTCTAAAAGGGAAATCCAACAGTGACCTACAGAGAAGGGTGYCTGAAACAAAGAGTTGTTTGTCTGCCTCTCCTTTTTATAATGCAAATACCTGTGTTGTGCATTCTATATTAATGATATATATTTTAATATATATATTAATATATATAAAAATAATATTCAACCTCTACAGGCAGACCAAGTGCTAAAGTGGAATAATACATTCACTCAGAAAAAAAACTCCAGAATGGCATATGGAGGAAGCACAGAGGATGCCAACACGAGGAATGCAATCATCTTCCTCAGAGATGGTCAACCAAATGGAGGTCAGTAATAGCAYTTCAGCATCCCTGTCAAGAACTACTCAATTCTACCACAGAAGCACCATCTGAGAATAAAAGCTCAAATTCCCTTTCATGAGTCCCACAGTCCCTGCCAAAAGGGAACACCTCCTCTTCACTGCCTTGTTCCAGGGGCTTTTCTGTCACCTTCCAAACGTTGGCCTTCGTTTTCAGCCTTTTCCTTGCCTTAGAAGATGTTTCTTTTCTAGAAAGACACATCACCACTTGGAACAGCCTGGTCGGAAGAGCCGGGACCTCGGCACCCTCCTGGTACCTTGGCATCCTCCTGAAACCTCGGAATCCTCCTGAAACCTTGGAATCCTCCTGATACCTCGGAATCCTCCTGGTACCTTGGCATCCTCCTGGCATCTTGGCATCCTTCTGGCACCTCGGAATCTTCCTGGAACCTCGGAATCCTCCTGGTACCTCAGCATCCTCCTGGTACCTTGGCATCTTCCTGGTACCTTGGCATCCTCCTGGAACCTCGGAATTTTCCTGGAACCTCAGAATCTTCCTGGAACCTCGGAATCTTCCTGGAACCTCAGAATCTTCCTGGAACCTCAGAATCCTCCTGGAACCTCGGAATCCTCCTGGCACCTTGGCATCCTCCTGGCACCTTGGCATCCTCCTGAAACCTCGCATCCCCAACACCAGCCTCACGGACAGGCAGCCACGTGTCCCCGCTGCCGGGAGGGAAGCGGAGAAGGAAGCGGAGCCCCGGAACGGATGGAACGGGGATACCGAGCCCCGCTGGCCCCGTCCCGCATCCCGGGGCTGTTCTGGCCGTGCCCCGGCGCTGCACCGGGCTGGGAGCGCTCCCCAGGGCAGGGCAGCGGCTGAGCCGGGCCGGGGATGGCACCGGAGGATGCTCCCGGGACCTGCGGGCAGCGGGCGGGGCTGCCCCGTGTCACCGCCCTGTGTCACTGTCCAGTGTCACTGCCCCATGTCACTGCCTGGTGTCACCGCCCCGTGTCACTGCCCAGTGTCACCGCCCCGTGTCACTGCCCAGTGTCACCGCCCCGTGTCACTGCCCAGTGTCACTGTCCAGTGTCACCACCCCGTGTCACTGTCCAGTGTCACCACCCCGTGTCACTGTCCAGTGTCACCGCCCTGTGTCACTGCCCCATGTCACTGCCCAGTGTCACCGCCCCGTGTCACCACCCCGTGTCACTGCCCAGTGTCACCGCCGCATATCACTGCCCAGTGTCACCACCCCGTGTCACTGCCCAGTGTCACCGTCCAGTGTCACTGCCCAGTGTCACCGTCCAGTGTCACTGCCCAGTGTCACCGTCCAGTGTCACTGCCCAGTGTCACCGCCCCATGTCACCGCCCAGTGTCACCGCCCCGTGTCACTGCCCAGTGTCACCGCCCCGTGTCACYGCCCMRTRTCACYGCCCARTGTCACCGCCCGGCCCTACACGGGACTGGGACACGGGGACAGCTCGTTCTTGAAGGGTCTTAACAAACAGAACCCCTCGGACACTCAGCATCAGTTTGAATTTAGGTCCAGCTCTCCCGCTCTGTCACATTCAGGTCACTCTGTCACTCCACACCTCTGACCACACTTGGACAAACTCATGCTCAGGGAACAGATCTCTCTGCAATGATTATAATTGGAATAAATAGTTTAGTGTTCAAACAGGCATTGGGTAAGGACAGAGGCACAACAATCTCCACGAACACACGGTGTTGGCTGCTGAGGTAACCAGTTTTTCACAGTATCAAAGCTGTTTTGCATAGAAACTTTAATTATTTCACAGGAGCACAAACCTTTTGGATAAACAGGAATTTGCTCACCTCAAGGTGCTGGAATCATGCTTGGAGTGTGTAAATATTTTCTGTCACATTATTTTACTTTTGACTATACAGAAAGGATGAAGCTTTTAAATACATGGATTTTCTCCCTTTTTATAGAGGGGTCTATTCCTCCAAATAATGCAAGGAGATTCGAYTTTTTTGAGTAAATAGTTCTCTGASAAATMTATCCATCAAACCTATTCACTTGGTTTATTTTTCTGAGGGAAAAAGGGACAAACAAATAAAAAAAAGTTAAAATACTTAAATATTATTACATTTATAATCCTAAAATATGTAAATCGACTGCAYTGAATTTTCTATTAGCTTTTAAATATTCACCTCAATATACATTTGTTCTTCAGGGCACACAGGAGATAAATAATTGAGTTAACATTGCTAGATAAATCAAATCTTTTTCCTGAGCTGCAAATATTCCAGATTATAATCTTGAAGTTGCTATGCAGTAACTACAAATGGAAACTAAACAGATCAAAGTGAGCAAGCAGGAGTCCACACTCAAGTAATGAGAGGCCAAATTTTCTGAGACTTCCAGGACCAGCCCCAGCATTTCAGATTGGTGAGTCGAGACCAAATGAAATGCAAAACCTCTGAAATGTCAAACCCAGCTTAAACACAGCGTGCAGGAGCAGCCAGGGATTTGAGTTTGGGCCACAAACAGTRTAAAAGCACGAGATTTAAAACAAACAAAACACCCTCAAAACCAAGCCCCATAGCAATTTTGGGTATAGCTGTGGCTTAGAATGTTTAAATAGGTTGTGGTGGCTTTCAGCCACAGACAGTGGGATACCTAATTCCATTTTGGCTTCAGGATCATCTCTGCACTGAGTAGAAGAATGGAGTTCGTATTGCACAGCATTTTTTCCTCTCTTTATAATAAACCAACCCGTCTTATTTGGGAGAGAAACTACAATAATCCAAACTACTCCCATCCAATCCCCACTAATGCCCATGCAGGTAGAAGTGGACAGAAGGAATTAACAGCTCCAGTTAAACCCTGCTGGAAATCCCTTTTTTTTTTTTTTTTTCTTTTTGTGAGTTGCAGACTCTTGACAGGACCAGGACAACAGATGAAGTCAGACAAATAGCAAAGAAAATTATTTTCTGGCTAAAAACATCAACTGCTAGCCACTTGTGGATGTGTGGTTATAATGCTTTCCACGCTCTTCCTGACAGGCCAGGCAAACTCCTCAAAAAAAGAGGACAGGTAAAAAAAAAAAGGGCAACAAGAATCAGCTACACAGTGCTCTTCTGTAATGTAGTGGAGAACTTTTATTTTATCACAACACCTGTTGGATTTCTGCCTTTGTGTTGGTGACTGAATTGATCAGTTTTGGGGGAGTGCAGATCAGCTCCAGGGTCTCTTTGCAARCTTCTCTGTTAACTTACCAAGGAAACAACAGTGTGGGAACAGTAATGTGGGAATTAAATTCAATCCCAGGATGGGCACTCTGCTCCAGCCGTGAGGAAGTTGGGATTTGACTATCTCAGATTTGAGCACAGATGTTTCAGTGCACATGCACTTTGATCAAAAGCAAAAACTCTTAATCTGTAGGAAAAACTACTTTTTTATGGCAGCCAGGGAGAKATACACAAAAGGATTACAGGACAAACTAATCTTGTGTGAGAGAGAGCAATGTACCATCCCAACTGGCCTTCAGGTTCATGAACTCTCCTCATTAACCTTATCCCYCTTTCTTTTAGGTTGTTTCCACTGGCTTCTGGCACTGCATCAGTAGTGTTCACAGCTTGCAGTTTTYTTTGTGCTACAGCCTCTGCACCCAGGCTGGGTGAAGTTTTTGATTCTGAACTTTRAGCTTCTCATCTGGAAGACTGAAAGCTGACAGTTGCCACTGCAAGGAACAAACTCCAGATCTGTTCTGTTCTGGCAAATTCTACACACACCAACTCAAACTGCAGCAGGATTGTTAATAWTTTKTTTTCTATTTTTCTCAGCAAAGTAACGGAGTTGATTGTTAAGASTGGTAATCTGGTGGATTGGAGGGAACAACACCTTCCTGAGTGTTGGAGGCAGCTGGAGCACTCAAACTACTCCCAGATATTCAGAGGCTACAGAGTTTTTCAGAAAGAGACTGCACCATGAACGTTCTGAACCTACCCAGCCCAGAGCATGAACCTTCCCATAATAAATGCACAGCAGAGCACAAAAACCAGTGGAAAACAATCAAAGCTTGTCTTCCAGCCACTCCAGCAACTTCTGAAGCCACAAATTCATTTGGCAGAGGAGTGTCATGAGCACTTCACGCATGCAGAGAGACATATTTCAAATGAGCACTCAAAAGAGCAGAAAAGGCAGGTTTTTCCCTGTGTGGCTGGTATTTCTGGAGTGCTTGGCACTGTGCCACCTGCTGACACCACAGTGAGCCGATGACACCAGCATGTTTTCCTGGAAAAGACAAGACCCTTTAAAGAACAAGTTGCTACACATTTAAAGTAGCAGAAAGGACACATGGTGGGGTAAAGATACTCCATGGAGGAAACCATGGTAAAACAAATGAAAGAGGATGGAAATCAGTGCTTCTGGAATTTTCCTTGCATACAAAAAAAAAGGGTCCACCTCAATTCAAAAATATCTTTTCAGCCTCTGTAAGATTTGCTACCTTAATTATAAATAGTGGCTTAAATTAAAGAAAAAATGTCACTGTGGCTTGTGAAGAGACCTCATGTAGAAGATTACAGAAAGGACTCAAAACTTGCTGGGTTCCAGGATAATTCAGGGTTATCTTYTAGAACTACAACTAGCCTAGGGCTTGCAGTACCTCCATAAATTTCCAGATCTGAGCTGCTCTTGTTATTAATGGAACCAGCTTATGTAAGTACCTGGAGCAGCACAGAACATGATCCTGCAGCAGCTGGGACCACAGAACAACCCTCAAAAAATGAAGCAAGAGTTCAGCACAGTGGTGGCAGCTGTGAACTGTTCAAGGACCATAAACCTCCAGAGAAATCAAATACACAGCAAAATGCATCCTGCAACAGAGACAGGAGAGAACCTGTCCCTGGCAAGAACCCTCATGCCAGAAACCCATCTTTAACAATCTTTTCTCATGCCAGAAACCCATCTTAACATTCTTTTCTCATGCCAGAAACTCATCTTAACAATCTTTCCTCACCCTGGCAGTTACAGTCAAGATCATTCACAATGCACCTCCTAAAAGGGGGTGAGAGTTTGAACAAAATGCAAGAAGGTGCTTGCTGCAGACACTGCTTGCTCAGCACAACTCCCTAAAGCCAGGCAGTGAAYTTAAGGAAACATGCTAATTGCATTCTCTTTAATTTGCTTGTGCTCTTTTTGTTTTTTCTTTTGAACAACTGCTCCAAGTCCTTGTTTGCTGSGCTGTAGTTCCAGTTTCCAGGTTGGCTGTGTGATGTGTCCATGAAGGTGCTGGATTTTGTTTTATACTCAGAGAAGCTGCTCAGAATCAGAGTGYAGGAAGAGATCTCTGAGCCTCTCCCTCACCAAAATGCAAAGGAAAAAAACAGACATGGTGCAATTCAGGGGAAGAAGGTGAAGAAAAGCACTTCAAATGTGCACAAGAGTTAAAATTTCATTTTCTTTATGCCTTCCTCCCCTCTGTACAGTAGCAAAGAGGAGACAAAGGGACAGRAATAGCAGGGTTCAGTGGAAGGCAGAAGGTTCCTGATGGGCTCACCGATGGCTCAGTGCTGCTGGGTGGGGGTGACTTGGTGCTTCACTGCTGCTTGGTTTTAAGGGATAATCTCTGTATCATCTTGTAAAGGAGACCAAAGTGCTGGAAACAGAAGGAAAAAAAGTAACCATGACAGTTCTGAACAGACAGAAAACTGAGCAGAAGGCTTAAAACAATACCAGTGTGCAAATGCAATGCCTTGTTAGAATCCACCACTCGTCCTGAAGATGGAGTGGGACTTGATGGATGAGGAGGAATTATGACAATGAAGCCAAGTTAAACAAAAAATGATGGCTTACAGAAGTGTTTGTGCAGATCTGCATCACCCCATTGTGAAGATGTGTTAAATATATTTTTTTTTGGATGCAATTCTGTTCCTTCTGAAGGGGAGGAGAAAGCTGCAGATTTCAACACATGCAGGTTCCTGGTCTCTATAGAAACACTGCTGCCAGCAGTTTCAGGAAGGTAAAAATGAACCAGGCAAAAACACAGAGATTCCCAGTAATTCACAATCCTTTAACTGGATCTTCTCTTTCACCATTTCCCCAGTGACTTAGAAATTCACTTAATTCCTCTTTTGATTTTGCTTTGATTGATTGTATTTTGATTTGATCTTCTGACAGATGTAACAAGATCTAGGCTTCAAATAATTTCAAATTCAAATAACAGAAGTCATGAAGACTGCTAACAGAAATCAAAGTGTATGTTTTCCCTCCTGTTTATATTGTTACACTGAATTTTAAAATGCCTGTGGCTTCCCCAAACAAACAATAGACAGAAATAACACGAAGTGATCAAAAYTGAGTGTGACCTAAAAAGCTTCCCTTTTATTCATGTTCTTCCTGAACCCGGGCAGGAACAGAAGACTTGTTCACAGGGGCTTGGTTAACACTTCCACAAAAACATTACATTTAATCTRGCTGGCCAAGGCATGGAGTATCAAATTTTCAGAAATATGGACACAAGATGTATTTATGGTTTCATTGAAAAAAAAACCCCAAAGCTCTGAAGATGCATTTCTAAGCCACATCCGATATTTCCCAACACTACTAGCTACATATCTTTGAATTACCAAGGTAACTAAAATTTGTTGTAAAGTTTCAGTTTGAAGCAAGTGAGTAATGCATGCCCTTGACTACAAGAAACAGCTCTAAAAACCAATTTTGCACTAAAATGCCAAGAAGCTGCCTGCAGCACAGCCAACTGGCATTATTGCTCCAGCTTTAGTGCAGGGAATGTGTGAATTATTGTAGCTAACTTGCTCTAGAAGGAAAATAATATATCTGTGTCACTCACCTGCACTGCAACATAGGCAACGCCAAGGTAGGCTGCAATACAGACAGCGAGGAGCAGATCAAAGATTGCTGGCTTGACCCTGAAATAAGGAAAAGAACACATGAAATTGCTACAGCAGGTCCTGCCAGGGGGTGAGCCAACAGCTCAGCATGCCCAGGGGAATTTCATACCTGTATGCATTCATCACCTGCTTCAGCTGGTCGTAGAAAACAAACTCTGGGTCCCTGTGCAAACAAAGAAAATTTTCAGGTTCTACTGTACTTCTTGACCCTGCAGTAAGGACAGCCCAGAGCTGYTCCCAAGGAGTTCACCCAACCACAGACAGGGAAGCATGACCACCTCCCATACTGGTTTTGAGCTGATTTTAGTAATCAGGACTTTCTTTCCCTACAATCAAAAGCCTAAGGACACAATTCAGAACTCATGCTGTTGTTCATCTGTCTCYAAAAAGGCTGAACATGAAAGATTCCTCCCTGTGTTCGCTAAAAAGCTTCAGCCCAAGCAGGTTGGACAGGATGGAAGCTGCAYTTTTGCAATTATCAGGTCTTCTCCTGCTCTCTGAGTGGGAACAGCAGAACATGAACATTAAAAACAAGCTCTTCAGACAGAGGGAGCTGCTGGGCCTTGTTTGTGCTGTGAGAAATGGTAAAGAGMTTCCTCTAGGAGAACACAGCATGAACCAAAACTGACAGGAGAGCAGAAAAGAGCAATGCTTTCCAGCTGTATGCCAAGAAACCAGGGAAGCTGTAGCTCAGAGACAAAATTCTGCAGAGGGGGAAGCCAGTTTGCATGGCCTGGCTGGCTCTTTCACWTCTTTTCTTACCGTTTGTCTGCCTTCACATGATGCTGCTTGACATCCTTCAGGTAGCGTCCCATGTAATATTCTAAGGTGTTGAGGAAGGTGCTGTCTTTATCAATCAGCTGGGCAGCCCTGGGCTGACTGCTCAACCAGTCCATCACTGACTCCAGTTGCTCCTGCTGGATCTGCTGCAGAAAAAAAACATCAGAAAAAGGGAGTCAACCACACACATGCTGAGACCACAGCTCTCTCCCAGACTCTATAGAGTCCTTCTCCCCACAAGTTACAAAAATGATGCATTGTGCTCACCATCTGATCTGTGAAGATCTGCATATCTGCAGGTGCTCCCTGCAAGAGAAAATAAAGAAAAAAAAAACCAAACCAGGTTATTGGTGAGCTTGGTTGGGCAGGACAAGTCTGGCCAGCACTGCATGGTGGGCACCTCTTACCTTTTCTGTTAGATTGTAGATGACCCTTGTCAAAGCCTCAGCAATGATCTGAGTATTCCTGGTCAGTGCTTTAGTGTCTATTCGTGCCCTAAAACAAAAGAGGGGATTAAAGACTTGCCAGTGGTATCAGCTTCCTCTAGAAAAAACCCTTTTTCACTGTCTCAAACACGAGCCTGAATCCAGAGCCCAACTCCCAGTGTTTCTGTCACCTGTGCCCTGACCATCAGCACAACACAAGCASTTGTGAGGCCAGTTTGGGTTTCTGGGCTGGATTTAAAGGCCAGCCTGCCTCAGCCAGGGTCCCTCACCTCCTATCCATGATGCTGTTGCGCAGGCTGTCCCGGTGGCTCTCCAGGTGGGAGATGGTGAACGCCGGCAAACGCCGGATCGCGAACCGCTCGTGCTCCCACGCCAGCATGTCCTCAGCCAGGTTGATCTTCTTGTGCACCATGGAAAACTTCACCTCTGGGAACTGGTTGGCAACAACCTGAGGAAAAGGGCCAGCCATTTAGGGGTGTTGTCCACTGCATAGTCCCATCCTGCACTGCCCTGTCTGCCTACACCCACTTGTTTTTATTTTTTTGTATTCCACATAGTAAGGTGCAGTTATTGACWTTATAAATTGGTTTCATGTCAAAAAGAGCTGTTTTCATGTCACTCCAGGGCAGCATTTGCAGATCTAGTCTGCTTCACCTGGGACTGTGGCATGAGGAATTGTCTGTACTTCAAATCAAGCGATCCTAAACARTATCTGAAATATTTCAATAGCACAGCCTTTCTTCACATCTTCCTTCCTCTCACGGAGATCTGCAGCTCCCCATATTAAGTCCCGTGTTCCCCATGTGCCTAAAATGCTTTTCCTTACCATCTCCAGCTCTCTCAGAAACGCATGCTGCAAGGTTCCCTCCTTGGGAGGCTTTGAGACRTGAAGATGAAGGCTATTGCCTCTGCCCAGAGTGTCGAGGCAGAGAACAAACGCTACATTGTCCTGCAGYAGGCTGGAATCTGGAACAGAAAAATCCAAACCTTCATTGCTGTGCCTTATGCTGGGATTTCCATTCCCAAAAAAAAAGCACAGCTCACACAAGGAGAGCTGAAAATTAATTATAGATTGAACACAACCAGCCCCTTACTCACCAGTGTGGTCCAAATTGTCCTCCAGCCACCGCTTCGTTCCTTGATAATTAAACTTGCCCCCTCCAGATGCAAAGAACAGCAGGTTATACCTGRCCATCAAAGAAGCCAGAGAAGGACTGGTTAGAATGCTGCACTCCAAGAATTCCTTTCCTCAGCCTTGCAGGTGTGGTGAAATCACAACCATTTGTACCTGACATCCGAGGCAAACTGTCCATTAACAAACACCTCCCCCATGCCACATACTCAGAGGATGGAATCTATTTCCCACATCATTCCCTCACTTGTCAGCTGCACACACATTAAACCCCAAACAGGGCAGTTCCTCACCCAGCATGGGTCCTTCTGTAGGTGTAGAGCCGAGAGAACAGCCTGGCCARTTCCAGCAGCACTGAGATTCCACTGCCATTGGAGTCAGCCCCGTGGGACAGCCACTGCAGGGTGAAGTGACACAAGGTGACAAACCCACACTGATTCTCAGCTTCAAGACAGCACAGCACTGTGGTGTTTGTAACTGCCCCACATCCTTTAGACCAAGGAAAGACACTTACAGAAAAAAAGACAGGAACAGAGAGCTGTAGGAAGAAAGAATACTCACTGGAGCCACTCCAAAGGAATCGTAGTGGGCAACTATTACAACAGTGGGCAGGTCTTCTCCACCCAGCCCTGTCAGCCTTCCCTGCAGAGCAAAGAGAGCAGTGTTACTCCCCATCACCTTTTGTGTGCCTGTGGTAGCACAGCCTGACTTCTGCCTGCCTGCTMTGTCAGCCATGGCCTCAGTTGTGARGACTTCAGACACTCATCTGACACTCCCCTGACTTAACCTGTTAGCCCAAATGTCTGATAAAGTCACAATAAAACACATAATCTTATCAATGTTGCCAGTTTGAATCCATGTACAACTCACCTCCACACTGGGGATGAGCCAGTCRTTGATAGCTTTGCTTTGAGCCCCACTGGTCACCATCTGGAAGCCATTGGCAGTTGCTGTGTGCAGCAGAACTAGAACATAAACAGAAAAAAATCTCACAATGTACACCTGGGAAAGTTTCATCTCTTCATTTCCCCTGCTAACTGAGCTTTGGAGAGACCAGCTTTAAACCATTTAAGCTCTCTCACTTGTCACTGGTGTTTATACAATGACATGGAATCCTGGTSATCATGCTTTTACATTCTGTCCTAAAATCCCAGTACTCTGAGCTGATCAAAAAGCACTGAAGCTCATCGTAAACAGCAAGTCAGTAATACAGTCAAGTTTCCATGAAAGCATCAAACTGAGTTGTGGTCAGACAAAAAGCTTCAGCTTCTATGAACACACCATCATCACTTAACATTTTCAACGTTTTTAACCTAGTTTTGATTTCTACCTTACTTGCAACAGCGTGAAGCTGGGAACTTCATGTAACTGCATTTCCAAATATAGTCAACTAATGTTTTCTTATGCTGTSCTTTTCTTCCACTGAATCTCTAAACACTTTGACAAAGACAGAATAAACACRAAGGTGACAGAACACTGGCTCATGATGCACATGACACAGCAGACTCCTCCCAGAGGTGGGACCAGGCCTGCCTTCCTCAAACCTTTCTCCTCCTTGTTAAACTCACCTTCTGCAGCTGAGGCAGAGCCCTGTGATGCAGAAGCAGCCCGTGTTTGTTCATAGATAGACAGCAGCTCCTCATCCTCCACTGCAAAGTAGACTGGCACAATGGTTTCCATAGCGAGCATTTCTGGCTCTATCTCCATGAATTGCTGAAGATTTAAGTGAGACACAAACTTAGCATCTGCTAAGCACGGCAGGAAAACATTCACAACCAAAGCAGAGAGAGAAGTTTTAAAATTAGAATACGATTTGTTGTGCATTACAACAGAAGCTTTCAGCCCTGCAGCAGCCAAGCTTTCCTCCAACACAACTCCCGTTGGAAGTGATGCCTGATGATTTTTGCTTTTCCTTTTTACGCTTTCTGTACCCTCTATGCATCCGCCTGTACCCCTTAGCCCACATGTTTGTAATTCCTGAAGCYTRATATTCCAGCTTAGTTTAGGARTTCTGCTGGGCAGAGAGACCAAACATCCTGAGGAAGGAGTCAGTGTGCCCTGTGCTATCTTAAACCCGAGGCTCCAGCCTTGGGTGAAGCCTTCTCTCTGGAACATCTTGTGTAAACTGGGCTCTGGCCTCATCTGGGGGGGGACTCATTAGAATAGGGGGACATTACTGCATTTGTTAAGTTTCTTATTTGGGAATCCTAGATAGATATGCTAATTCCTGAAATCTATAAAACTATCTGTGCTATACACGGGTGTGCATTCTGCCATCAAGCACCTGGGATCCAAAATACTGAGGTAAAACCCTTTTTATCCCCTTAACTGTGTCTGTGTCATTATTAAAAACTGGCCTTTCAAGGCAACAGAAGAACAAAAAAACTTTTTTCTTTTTACCCGTACGACATCCTGGGGSACAGAAGAGATGGATCGTGGCAAGATGATGACCACAGCCCCAGCTGACTGGCGGAGAGCCTTCTGGTACTGCTCGTAGGAGAAGTCCACCAGCCTCATCATGACGCAGCGGCGGCTCAGCACGTCCGCTTCCACGGTGCGCGCCTCCGTGTTCAGCACGGCGCTCCGGGTGCCTGCCAGCAGGAAAACAACAGGGCTGGTGAGGAATTTCATCCTATCCCCGCTGCTCCAGCCTCCTTCCTGCTCAGAACAGTCCTTGTGGACAGTTTGATGGACTGCAGAGCAGCCAGAAGCTGCAGAAAGCTGAGTTTGTGTCTTTGCCCTCATCTGAGAAGGAGCAGATTTCCTGCCAGGCTCCCCTTATCCCACACAGCCTCACCTTCCTCAACACAAGCACACAGCCTACCTGTCTGCTCACCTGCACATCATACCTGCAGGCAGCAGCAAACCTGGAGACAGCCTGGCCTCTCCAGAGCCTCCTGCAGCTGCAGGATCAAGCTGTGGATGGAAACTGTGTGCACCCGCCTGATGAAAGGACACCAGGCTGCCCCATGTCACCCCAAGGGCTGCTCTCACTCAGCCACAAGGAATGGAGAGTAGCTGGGAGAGTTCCAGATGAGCAGGCTGCTCCTAAGGGCTCACCCTCTCCTGCTCTTAATTCCAGCAGATCAAATGCCCACATGGAAATGCAATCCCCTGGGAGCACAGCAATTCTTGCCAGAGAATCGCCCCTTCGTTCTCCAAGGGAGAGCCAAAAGGACACCTTGGACAAACAGAGAGGGTCAAACCCATTTTACAATTTGTAATTCAATTTCTTCTTCTGTAACTCTGGAACCTGCACTGGAGAGCTCTGGGTCCCCACACAGGGACAGACAAGGTGCTCMAGCCTCTGTCAAACTGGAGCACTGCTAAGAATTAGATTTAAACCTGGCTAAACTTAACTCTAACATTAGTTTGGTCTCATCAAAGGTCACAGAATCACCTAAACAAAAAAAAAATCTACATTTCCCCAGCACAGCATCAATGAGAGCAACATACCCAGAAACGGGCACAATGTAAATTCTCCCCACAGGGCTCTGACACTAAATAACAAATACTAACAGCATCTCCACTTCAATCAGAGAAAAACAATTCAAAATGAGGACAATCCCTCCACCATTTCTGAAAGAATGATGTGCAAACACAGCAAGGTGGATGCAAAATTCTGCTCCCAGCACCACCCTCTGACATCTAAGCAGAGCAGACACAACAGTGTTTTTCTGACGAGTTGATTTTCTGCAGTTTCTCTACAGAGAGCTGGTTAATACATTTAAAATGTTAATACTCATTTACAAATTAAGGAACTCCATCAGCATTAGAGGAAGTCCAAGCTTGTTCTTAAATTGCTCTATGAGTGATGCTGACAAAAAACTCTGCAAGAAGAGGCTGAGCAGCCAATACCGGTTGGTATTTGGTCCTTTTGAAAAAGAATATGAGAATCTGRAACAATAAATCASCTCAGTCAGAGCRTRATGCTAAGAATGCCAAGAYTGTGGGTTTGATCTCCTATGGSTCATTCACTTTGAGAGGACTCARTGATTCTTCTGGGTCCCTTCCTACTCAGACTGCTCTGTAAAATACAACTTTTATCTGAAGGACATCTCAGAACACACAAGGAACAGGAACAGCAGCTACYCAAAGGGAGCAGGAAGGAACAAAGGAAACACACAACCCACCGAGCTAAAAGGCTCCAGGAAAAGGAACAGCATAAAAAGTTAATTGGAAGCATCTTAAAAAAAAATAACACCTGCCTTTTGAAGAGTTCACAAAATTCTCCAAAGTGAGCACTTGGCTAGAGGGGACACTCAGGCAACCAAAGCCTGCAGAATCACACCCCTGCTACCCCTGATAAGGCTGTGAACACACAGTCCCCACCACCTGAGGAAAGAGAGTCCTACCCCCATGAAAGAGCCTGCCTTGGAGCTACTGAGGTTGTCAGAGCCCTCAAAAAGTGGACACATTCAGAGAAACCGTGGTGGAAGAACCCAGGAATAATTTCAGATATTTAAGAGCCACCAGAAACATGAAGTATTTAAGGAGTACACAGGCATAGCTGCATTTCATAACTTACATATTTGAACCTACTACGATCTGAAAGATGGAGAGGTGGTGTCTCACAGACTAAATACGAGGCCGTTTATTGTTAATATAACCCTGAAATTCATGTCTGTCACTCACACACAGAGCACATGGCCTGGCCTGGTCTAAAACACCTACAAAAGGCCCAGAAACACCCCTTGATTCTGGATTTGTGAGCACATGGGGGAGGAGGCTGAGGGTTACAGCACCTCAAGGACTTGCAGAACAGGGTGTGTTCCTGACCCAAAGAAAGGTGTTGCACAATCAGCAGGCTGGAAATAAGAGAACAGAGGAAGTAAAGGTCAATTGTAACCCAGCAGAAGGACAGGATCTGAAATGGAACACTGGAGCAACACACATTGCTGAGGATGAAGAGGATGAAGAGGATGAAGAGGATGAAGAGCAAAGAACAATCAACCTGTCAATAAAAGAGTCAAAGGCAAAAGGACAAAACCGAGCACACAACCAAGTTTTCCAGCATGCAGGAGTGATGCAGCTGAAACACAGAGACCTCAGCCCACAGACAGGGGTCCTTGGCTTCCTCTAGGTCACCACCATGGAGCTCCCAGCACTCTGCTGAGCCTGGGCAGTGAAAYTCAGCCAGACAGGGCCCTCCTCCTGCGGCYTCCCCYGCGCYKGGGCCCGGCTGCTGCCGCCTCCMGAGCCCCCCGAGCCCACCCGCSGCCTCCCCTAGGCCGGGCCACSCTCCMMGGGCCGCCCGCGGCTCCACGGCCTMCCCAGAGCTCCTCCCCGGGGTCAGGGCTCTCTTTCCACAGCCCCACCACCCCCGACGGGACCGCTGCCGGTCGAACCGAGCCCGGCCGGGCCGCGCCGCGCCTCACCATAGGGCTGCCCGCCCAGCTCGTACTGCTGCATGCGGTACACCGTGAACTCGTGCGCCGCCTCGGCGGCGGGCGGCGGCCCCAGGAGCAGGAGCACGGCGGGCACGAAGAGCAGGACGCTGAGCGGGAGGCACGAAGCCTTGAGCACCGACTCCAGCACCTCGCTCGCCTCCTCCAGCATCGCCGCGGCCCCGGCCCGCACTGCGGCCTGCTCGGCACGCACGGCGCGCCCCCCGCGCGGGA